CTGGCGAGGCGGGGGTCAAACTTGGGCGGGTGGGAATCCTTCCCGGCTCCGTGGTGCGTCTCCGCGCTCGACAGTCTGTGGAGCCTGGGATCGACGTTTTTTTGTAAGCGGGGATCTCCCAGTTTGCTCGAGCTACTGGCGTGCGAATCCGCCGACGGATCCAAGTAGCCGCTCCTGCTCGCCAAGCTGTTTTTCGCCTTCGCAGCCAGTCGCGGGTCGGCTGGCATCGCGCCGGGATGGGGATCGTTCTTCAGATTCCGCAGTTTATTAAGTCTCTGGTCAGCGATGAGAGGAGGAAGAGGTAAATTGATCGAAGAGACGGGGTCAGGCTTAGGCAGAGGGATTGGGAGCAAGTCCTCGGGCGCCCACACGATGTGCTTGGCGAAGTTTGGTTTCATCAGGGTAACATCCATTTTGATGTGGCTGAACTGCCTCAGCTGAGATCGGGGATCCCTTAACGTCACACCGGGCAAAGGTTCCAACGGTATCAGGAAAGCTCGTTCTCTCAGTTCTCTTTCCGAGTCCTCTTCATCATCATCCATCCCTTTCTGCTTGACTTTAACCCCGGCGTGGGCGTGGTGTAAATCTAGCTTCGCTCCCCCAAGGGACGAGCTGGCATGGCCACCCTCACTGACCTTGTGCATCCTGGGGTCTCGGACGAGCCGGGGGTCCAAGGACGAGGATTCTGACGGCTTCCTGGGGTTGGACCTTGGAGAGGCCCGAAGTCTCGGGTCAGCAGCCTGAGACACTGCGCCTTTTTCTTTTGCCAGCCTCGGATCAGTAGGAATACCGAGCATGTGCTGCTCTGTGGAATGTTGCTGCCGATTCCTAAAATTTTCACTTTGTTTCTTTAAGGTTTTTAGTATTGATTTAACGCTGCTCCCCTCCTCCTCTTCACTACTGGAATACCAGTTGACGTTGTCATCTTAAAAAAAAAAAAAAAAAAAAAAAAAATTATTCAAGCAAAGATCACTAGGGAATACAACACGTTTACACACGTAAAGCACAACTTCTCAGTAAAATCCAACTGAAAAGCCCTAATATTAAAACATCACTCCCTATATTATAACGACCATCATCTAAAATGACAAAAAATCAATTTCAATGAAGAACTGACATAACAGAAAAAACTGTAGCTAGTTGAGATACTCCCAAACTCTGCTGCATTCTTTCCACATAGCTCTCTGTCAATGTTAATCTCAGAAAACAACTTGCTTTCAAACAATTATTTCTACCAGGACTAGTAAAATAAACAAATAAATAAATGAAAACAAAACCCCCACACATTTAAAATCTGAGTCTTGATGAAAACGACCTTCATTGTGGGATGATAGGACAAAAAGTAACATGGCACCTTACAGTAGTCTTAAAACCAGATACATGACAAATGCAGAACTTGCTGCCCTCTTACAATCCAGATCACAAGGTTTTGGGGAGAGGTCAAGATTCAGAAAGGGAAGAAATAAGAATACTTAATTTTGAAGGATCAATTTTCAACTGCCTTCTGCAATCTAGTGGGAAGCTGTGCGCTCAGGTCCACACCCTGAACTCGCCTACTCTCTGAAGGGGACTGGTGGTTTATTCTGGCTCGGAAAAACGAGAAACGAAGGCGAAGCCCACCAGCATCACCACCATCTCACGCACAACAACGCACGTTTCCTCAGCACTTCTTGTACCACACAAATATTTAACAACAGGGAGCGACACGTTGCTGGAGGCAGCGAACAGGAAGGTTTTTCCGTTACTCTGCTTTCCGAAAGCCCTCTAGACGGGAGGACCACTCTCTCTAAAGCACTGGTGAGAAGCCTTCAGTTCAGAGCAGATTACTCTGGGTCACCCTGGTTTTGCACGTAGCCTGAAGGGCTGCACCTCCAGATTTCTCTCATCGTTTGATAAGAATTATATTGGCAACGCCCTCGAAACCATTTCACATGGCAACTGCCTTTTGGTAACACAGAAGATGCATTTCTGGTCACACAACCCAGCAGCCTCAAGAGAAGGGTGCAGCAGGGAGCTGGCCAAGGGACAAGCGGATGCTGTGCGGCTGAATCCAATCTGCAGGCTCGGTGCTCTCCGTTATCCAGGTCACAGAAGAGACATTCAGATTAAACACTGCAAATTTCGGATATCACAGAGGAAAAGTGCTCCTCTAGAGAAACGGAACGTGCAGAAAAGATCAAGAGGCATAACTGAATAAACAGAATCCAAGCTGCACTTGCAGTCCTGGCAGTTAGAAACAACCCCCCTTCTGTTTCAATCAGGGATTTTAGGAAGTAATTGAGTTATCAACAACAGAACCTTTTAAAAGTGTGAACTGTATCCAAAAATTATCCACAGATCTTTCTAGTTGGAACCAGAACACAGCAACTAAGCGTATACTAAAATCCTGGAACAAGCTGGGAACTTGCACGTTCACGGCAATTGTGAACGGTAACGTGATGAAAATCCAAGTCGAGGGGTTTGTTCCAGGCTCACCCACAGTCAGTAAGCACGTTTAGAACTCTAACAAAATGATCGTTACCTTCGTCTTTGCTCATTGCCCTCTGACCCTGGCTGCTGACAGAGTCTCCATCTCTTTGATGCTTTTGACTGAGCCTTACATAGAGGGCCTTCTGCATTGCTGGAAGAAAATCCGGGACGTTAATGGCTGGTTTATGGCCCATGTGGCTGCCCATGCAGTCTGACTCGCTTCCACCTTGGTGCGACTCCTGAGCCATGAGGTGAGCCTGGTGATCTGTAAATTCTCCATGCCATGTTCCATCTGCAGTACGAAAACACCCAGTTAGCAGCTAACCCGTGCAAGCTGTTACAGCAGAGGAGATAAAACATAAAACACAACCGAGCAAAACTAATGTGACTTCTGTCACACGACTGGAAAGCATCATAGAATCACAGAACGGTTTGGGTTGGAAGGGACCTCAAAGACAATCTAGTTCCAACCCCCCTGCCATGGGCAGGGACACCCTCCACTACACCAGGTTGCCCAAAGCCTCATCCAGCCTGGCCTTGAACACTGCCAGGGATGGGGCAGCCACAGCTTCTCTGGGCAACCTGTTCCAGTGCCTCACCACCCTCAGAGGGAAGAATTTCTTCCTTATATCCAATCTAAATCTCCACTCTTTCAGTTTAAATCCATTGCCCCTTGTCCTGTCGCTACAAGCCCTTGGAAAATGTCCCTCTCCAGCTTTCCTGTAGCCCCTTTAAGCACTGGAAAGCTGCAATAAGATCACCCCGGAGCCTTCTCTTCTCCAGGCTGAACAGCCCCAACTCTCTCAGCCTGTCTCCATAGCAGAGGAAAAAAGCATCAGCTGAAAAAGCCTATGCGCTGAAGACATTCCAGGAGGTTTGGCTTTCTATCCAAAATTCTTCCAGCTGCTGCTCAGCTCTGGAGCCATGATGTTTTGATACCGCACACAACCGCAAAGCAACCGTACCAAGGAACAACAATTTTTCAGTGTCCTTACCACCGGAGTTATTAGCTGGCTGGAAGTTATGGACAGCTTGATGGGAGTAGTAATTGTCATAGAAATCAGCCGGGTTCTGAATGGGCTCGTAACTCATATTGGGCTGCCGTTCCCCGGGAATCTGCTGGTACTGCGGCCCCGGAGGGCAGTGATTTTCCCTCGGCATATTCACCATATGTCCTTGAACTCCCGGGGCGTTGTACGATCCACCGAGCCCCGGCGGCGTGAGAGGCGGCCCGCCTTGCTGCCCTTGCATTGGCATACCAGTCTGGCTCTGCGGCCCGAGGAAGCCTGGCGGAACGCCCTGCATGGGGGGGCTCTGTGGCATTCCCGGGCCTTGAGGCCCTCCGCAGGGATGGTGTCCGGGAGAACCTGGGTGCATCGGCGGCCCGTTATGTCCTTGTGACATGCCGGGTCCTGGCCCTGGACTCGAACCTGGATTGTACATATGTTGAGAATGTGGGTCGTTTCCCTGAAACGGTGGTCGTGGTGGCGATGCGCTGTTGTAGAAGGTCGGTGGCCTGCAGGCAAAAGAAAATTAGCGGGTCAAACTCTGCACCTACAAAGATCAAAACCCAATTAGCCATCTGCTTCCCCTCCTCACTCTTACGGATGTCTGTTCGTACTTATTTGACCTTAAGTTGGATAAAAATCTGAAAGAAGCAAAATAATTTTAAAAGAGAGTAACTATCTACGTTACACTTGACAGAGCTGTCTGAAGTAGAACGTTTTTTCAGTATTAGCACATGCAGAACTGGACATTTGCTGCAACTACGAGTTATGACCACCCCAAGGCCAACAGTCTCCATCAGAAGCGTCGATTGGCTTCGGTCAAGAACGAGCTAACTGTATGAAGAGTTCAGAAGAGAATGGACATCGCTCAACCAAAAGCCAAAACCAAGAGCCAACGGAGTGACTTTCTGGAAGGTCACGGCTCAGTAAGTTCTCTTCTATGGAAAGCATGAAATAAGTAAATAATTCTGACAGATGATTAACTTAGCAATATACTCAGAAGCAGATACCTCTGACGGAAATGATGAGAATTGTTTAAGTATTTATGCAGCCATGTTTTATGGAGAGTTCTATGCAAAATTCTAACACCTACTTTTTTCCAATTTTGTGTGCTAAATCCACAGTGGGCTTCACAACTATTTCGAAGAGAGATGGGATTTTCTTGTAGTCTCCTGAAGGATCTTGATAGTTTTCTAGATCAGACTCAGAAAACGGATATTGCTCTGGTGGGGTTGGCAGAAGTCCAACGCCTGGTGGTGGCTTAGGGAGAGGAACGATGCCACGCTTTCTGAGTTCCTCCAGTTCTTTCTCATCTTCATTTTGGGGTTCCTCCTCCGTATTCAAAACCTAGAACAAAGCAACGCAGCAAACACCTCGCTAATTTTGCAGTCTATGCAATCCAATTTAGTCTTGCACATTCCATTTAAATACAATTACCTGCTACAATACTGCTATGTATGGACACCAAACTCAGATGAATTATAAATCTATTGTTACTTGTTCCACAGGACACCGATTCACTGCCAGAAAGAAAACTATTCCTGTAGGCAGGAAAGGACAATTTCACCCAAGTCTCTTTCCTTCAAATAGTAATTTTAAGTGACAGAA